CTGGAAGGTTCCTCAGATCTATTGTGTGATTTGCAAACACAAACTATCTGCTGAAGCAAGATTTCAACTGTGTCATTTATGAATGTTGGTCAAATGTCGAACTTGAATCGAACGTTGCTAATTTTAGAACGTCAAAAATATCAATTATGTTGGCTGAGAAGGTCTGAATTACAATCTCTGTTCCAGTTCACCCTAAAGGTGCTCAATAGGGTTAGAGCAAGACTATCCAACTGGTGGCCCGGGGGCCAAATCTGGCCCACGGATGAACTTAGTTTGGCCCACTAATAGTTCATTTTAAATTAAACTAGATTTTAAACCATAAAACTAACTTAATGATAATAACTGCTGGATGTCTGGCCCCCGAGCTCATGGATTTCAGTAACTGTGGCTCCCTGAGCAATTTAGTTGAATAGCCCAGGTAAGTTTTTTTGTAACCAACCTCATCAAACCATAACTATAGTCTTTGCTTTAGAAAAGGGTCTTTCTTAAAGTGTTGCCACAATGTCCAAAATGTCTGCATGCCGAAGCTTTAAGCTTTTCGATGATTGGAGATAAGAGGCCAAGCTCAAAACCCCTAAAAACACACACTATACCTCATCCCAACAAAGTTAAGTCAGGTCAAATGGACTGTTTCTTTTTTCTTGTTGAGATATTTCGTCCTTCATCCAAAGGACTTCATCAGTCTGAGGAGCCACAACAAACTCAGCCCCAAGCATCACACTCACATAAAGGCCCAACCAGTTTGATGGTGATAAGATGGTTTCTGGGGCCTGTCCTCTCCCCCTTCGGCTCCTCTGAGGCAGACGTAGCCAAAATGGTTCAAAACATCCAAGTCCATGCTCAATAATCCAGGTCAAATAATCCAACAAAGTTAAAAGTCAGGTCACAACACTTCAATAGAATGCAACAGTTATCCGTTGTGTCCAAACACTTTTGGTCATAAAATGCACATTTGCTCATTTTGGGGTCACCTTAAAGGACTTTCTGCAGACTTTCTTAAATTTTTGCTGATGTTGAAGTTTGAAGAAGTGGTTTGCGGACCTGTTTCCCATTTTCAGCCATTTTGCCAGCTAACAGTCATATCGGTGTGTTTCGTAACTTTGCTTTGTCTGTGATGACCAGACATTCGACTGGATCGGTCCCAAGCAAGCGCTTGGTGTTCCTGTGAGTGTTTACTGTCACAGTCCAGAAGGAGAGCCGAGGGGGGAATCTATAAACTCTGGTCGCTTCAGTGGTTTCCTTCTGTGGATGCACACGTGTGTGAAAAAGAGACCCTAGGTGGCTGGCTGTGTAATTTACTGCAGACATAGCAGCTTTTATGAGACAAAGTAAACACACACGCACACACTAAACTAATCGTCTCTAATTTAGCCTTGTTGTCGTCCTGGGATTTCATTAGGAGGCTTGAAGATGACAATTAGCGCCCGGCTAACAAAAAGGACGAGGACATCACCAGCTGGGGTTCAGTCAGCACAGACACGCACCAAAAGATGCAGATCTGGTATTAAACGTGCCCTGAAGACATTACCATTAAAACAAGCTTAAATTAGATCTGGATAGGTTTGAGTGAGCATTTAGAGTTCTACATTCAGAGCAACAAAATCACTAAGAACAAGATTAACTCTGGCAAAATATATAAAAATCTGCATTAAATGACAGCCTGCATGGATTTGCATGGGATGCATCGGTGAATAAGATTCAAAAACATAAGAATAAACTCAAAGTGTTGTTGATAATCCTTCAGGGTCTGAGGTTTATGTTAGCTGACCCTGACCATTCTCTGAAAAATACTTTCAATGTAGAAATTATGCTAAAATACTGGCATGCTACAAGGAAACATAAGACTTTTTACATCCCAGCTGTTACATTTGCTTTCAGTTTGGGTTCTACTGACTCAGACTTCCTGGTTTCTAACTGCTCTCTTTAGTTTTTACAGCTACTTTCTGCAACAGAACCACGGTTATTGGAACGCTCAAAGTGACTTTACGTTTTAAAACAAAATAGCTGCACTATAAACCCAAACACTGTAAATCTGCTGAAATCCTGTAATTATTCAATCCAGCTTGATTTGTGAAGCACTTTACACACGGCTCACGCAAAACAGCATACAATCAGAACACACGTGAAATTAAACCAGGTAATAAAACAATAAATTGCGTAAAATCTGATCAAACAAAAATTTTAAACAATGAAATCTACAAAAATTTAAATCAGTTAAAAATAAATAAAACAGCCCTTTTTAACGTGTTAAAAGCCAAAGCAAACATGAGTTTTGAGAATAGACAATGAAGAGGCCTGTCTGAGCTGGAGGGGCAGCTCGTTCCACAGTTTAGGAGCTGCTGCATGCAGCAAAAGCTCAACACCTGCAGGACTTCATGTCTGCTTTTTTGGGACCCTCGGGATCAGCTGGTCTGAGTGACCCAGAGGTTAGTGGTGCAGCAGCTCAGAGACAAAGGGTGAGGCAAAGCCATTTAAAAACATAAAATATTTTAAAATGGATCCTAAAATGCACGGGCAGCCAGTACAGTGAGGGTAATATGGAGGGAGATGTGCTCACGTGTGCCAGTTAAAAGACTCGCTGCAGCACCCTTTGCAGTCGGGCAATAGAGGACCCACTACCCTCCAGATAAAGCGTGTTACAATAATCCAGACAGGTGGTAACAAAGGCATGGATTACTAATTATGAAGCAATATAGCTTTAGAAAATTTGTGATAATATGTATAACTATAGCAAAAAAAGATACATTTTTATTTGTACAAACAATACTACCATATTTTTCAGACTATAATGTGCATCAGATTATAAGGTGCACTATCAACGAACGGGTCTGTTTTCAAAGGAGCATTAAGCGAAACAAAACAGTCAGATAAGTCAAACTTTATTCAACTCATTCACAATAACTCTCAATATTGTGCAGTTGTACCACATAAAATTGGTTCGAGGTCAGTAGCACTGTTGCCTCACAGCAAGAAGGTCCTGGGTTCAATCCCCGGTTGGACCTTGGGGTCTTTCTGTGTGGAGGTTTAGTGTTCTTCTCGTGCTTGTGTGGGTTTTCTCCGGGTACTCTGGTTTCCTCCCACAGATCAAAAACATGCATGTTAGGCTGCCTTCAGGCCTCCTTTGCAAAAGAGATCTGTGATCTCATTGGAATTTGCCTGGTTAAATAAAGGTTAATACATAAGGCGCACCGGATTATAAGGCTCACTGTTGATTTTTGAGAAAATTAAAGGTTTTTAAGTGTGCTTTATAGTCCAAAAAATAGGGTATTGCAGACGATTTGATTACGGCACAGCCCTAAAAGAAACCAAATGTAGAAAAAAGTTAATTTGGCAACAACATTTCATTTAAGAAGCAGAGATTTTGGGATATGAGTTCCTGGGTTTGAGTTTAGAACAGCTGGTGGGTTGACTGGCAGGTCAGAGCTGCCATCATTAGCAATTAAATCCCCCCCAATGAAACCATTTGCTCCAGTGTTGCTCTGAGCGGGCAGATGTGGTCGTTTTATTAATCAGCTGACACAGCAGATGAACTGGGAGTGCCTGCGTATGTCCATCAAACCAAACTGCACAACAAGGAGGACAAATAGGTTTAATGATAACAAGAACTACTTCAATCCACCAACATCATATTTGTTTCTGGTGCGACTCAGAGGAAGCAGCATCTTTACATGGATAGATGTAACACAGACCCGTGGTGTTGGATCAGGCAGGAGCAGGAAGCGTCTGCTCTGCTGGACGACTCTAATAAGCCATGGCGTTACTTGGTAAGGGCAGGAAGGATTAGAGGAGTAAAAATAACTCTCTTCTCTTGCTTTACTGGCTGCTTTGGGTGTTTGTGCTCCAGTCCTGTCTGTCAGGAAGCGGCCTTTCAAAACACAGTTAGTCATCTTGATTCATGTCAAAAATACACGGATAGATATAGTCAGCTGGTCAATAGTTGATGAGGACTTGAAACTGAACTGGTCTGAGGGTTGTTAACTGGGCTTTTGTAGTATTTGAATGTGTTGCAAAAAGTCTATGTGTCCCGGTGATGGACTTGAGACCAGTCTAGGGTGTTGCCACAATGATGGCTGGAAATGGGCACCAGTGACCCCTGCACCCCAAAAAGGAAGAAGCAGGTAAAGATGGATGGATATTTTGTCATTATTCGTCCATCCATCCATTTTGTAAACCTGCTTGATGTTGTTCAAGGTCACTGGAAGGTGGTGTGAATCTCCAGCCATCATCGGTGGTGTGAGACACAAGGGACAGATCACCAGTCTTTGCAGGACCGAATAAAGACAAACAACCATGCATGTTCATACCAACTTAGGATCAATGTAGAACCTCCAGTTAACGTAACGTGCATGCTTTTGATCTGTGGGAGACGCCCACACAGAACGACCCCAGTCGAGTCTTGACCCTGCAGCCATTTTGTTGTGAGGTACCAGTGCAGAACTGTGAACCACTTCACCACCACACCAATTATTGACAGTAAAGACATGAAGATGCAGCTCGTTGATTTTTAAAAATCAGTTTATTACAAAAGAAACATTAAGCAGGTAAGGAGACAGGTCCAAGTGGCAGAATGCGTCCAACCCCGACCATCAGGGAACTCATTTGAACAAAGCTTATCTGTGAAACACATCAGGCTCGTCACAACTTAGAAGGCAGCATGACCAAACATCGGAGCGGAAAAAGATGTGCACTGTGCAGGACAATTCTGTTACACCTGCTAATTAACAAAACATTGACATTTTCTATGATTTAGGTCAAATTAGCCAAGTACTTTCAGGAATGTTACTCTTTGAGCCTCATTTTTCTGGTACTCTAATAAAACTGCTTACCAATATATTTGATACCCAGTCAATTGCTTCCTAGTAGAAATCTGCTTTCATTAAAGAGTTAAACAGTTTTTGGCACTTTTGTTGGGCAAAAAATGTTGGCATTTTTATTGATGCACTTGTTTATTTGCATTTTGTGGTTATTTCCTGTAACACCCCCTACTGTCTCTTTCTTAGATTATCTGTGCGGCCCGGAGGAGAACATTTACAAAATCGACTTCACAAGGTTCAAGATCAGAGACATGGAGACCGGCACTGTGCTGTTTGAAATCACCAAACCTCCAACCACAGGTGAGTCACTCAGTAACTCTGTGGATTTGTTGCATTTAATCTCAACTCACCTTGAAGTGTTCCCAATAAACACATTGTAAAGCAGCTACGTGCTTAACATTCACCTGGAGAAACTGCAATGGGCTGTTGTGGTGTATGGACCTAAACAGACACACGGAAGAAAAGTCCAACGTTTTAAAACAGCATCAGTTTTTAGTTTGTGTCAATCTTAGGGTTTCTGTGTTTCATTATGAGTTCAGACAGTTTTGATTTGTTGGTCACTTCACCAAATGTTCTGTTGTCCAGCTCCTTAAACACTATCTGGTTTTCATTAGCAATAAGCACACATGTGGTCACTTATAATATCCCATCCATGTATAAATACTCCTGGGATTGTTTCAGTTAAAAAAAGAAGCCAGTCTGAATGGTTTTCTTGATTGAAGGGTGGAAACAGAAGAGCCGATTGAGAAGCAGTCGGTTAAAATGGAGAGACAAGACAGTTCCTGTAACAAGAATTACTGGAGCGAGGCTACAAACTTTTTTACGGAATACTGATTGAAAAATAAAAATAAAAATCAAGAAAACTTGTAAATTCAGAGAACAAAATTTGTAGGAATACATAAAAAAAACAAACAGATAAAACTGATCAGTCTGACTGATATAGACTCTTCAGAAAAAAACAAAATGCAGTAGTCCCTCGTTTATCGCGGGGGTTTCCGTTCTCAGCTGCCCCGCAATAAGTGAAGAAACGCGAAGTGGGAATAGTAGTACAAGTAGTAGTGTAGGTGTAGACATCTGTGTATATATATATATAT